CGTAGAATCATGTGGATTACCGGAAAGATGCACAGGTTGAAGAAAAGTAAGAGTCTTAATTCTGTCAACAAACTTGGAGTGCGAGATTGAATCAGTGACAGTGAGTACAGCCGCGCACGAAACTCCTTCAGCCTCAGTTACTAACTACTGTCGAAGACGCAGCGACTCTCATGAAAAGCCGCCAGGTTTAGGTGCACGTTTTTTTCTCAAACAACTACAATGTCTCCCCCAGTATGGGACAATGCTTTTGCGTCACATCATCTTCGAATTTGTTGTGTCGTGTCCTCCAGCGGGCCGAATTATCTCGCCTGCGGCAGTTTTACAACAGACAAGCATTGTACAACCTAGAGATGCATCAAAGGTTGTCCCATAGGACACCAGAAACAGAAGACATGGTGATCAAAAGTCATAACTGCGGTGAAAATTCACTTTTACCCATGACCTTATTTATTTCGGTAGGATGTGGTTCGGTAGTCCCACCTGATGGACGTAATACTCTTGGGTTGTGGTTACGGTTAGAAGTTAGGGTTAAGGGTCACGGTTAGGAATTGGGGATCAGGGTTAAAGGTTAAGATTAAGAGCTAGGGTTTAGGCTTAGGGGCTATAGTTGGGGGTTAGGGTTAGGGGTTAGCGTAACTATTTCTCAACCACTGAAAGTGCAATCATGCACTCCCAATGGCACTTCTTTTGCATACAACTAATTGACCTCGTCGCCTGTTCGTTCTCCGGCTCCACCTGTAAAAACCCCTATTACCACCGTTCCCGTATTAGAGGTGACTGAGGTTCGTTTACTTGAGGTGCGACTACAAGACCACATCCAACCGTTATTTCTTTTGATCTGATATTAACTTGTTGGAGAAACGGAGGAATCTATCCCGGACGAGGCTAAGGAGGACGATGCTTGATTGGGCAAGGGGGACTTCCAGTTTTCCCCTAAGCGTGCGCGGTTGGCTTTCCGAACTGTCTGCTCGTGTGTTATTTTTTCTCCGCTTGAACACCTTGGTGTCTCGCTACCTCCCAACTTTCCGCCCTCAAATAAACCCTTCTCTCCAAGAGACCTTCCTATTTAACGCGGTGCCCTACCCACTTGCTTGCTACATCACGACTTGGTCACTTTAAATACAACATTAATGTGCGGCAAAGAGGACCACACTTGCGGTGTCAGGTGGTCAAAAGTTCTGCTGAATGAAGACCTCAAAGTACATCAGTTAAGTATTCTGGCCTCCGTGGGCAATTCTCATTCAGCGTGCTGTGTTTCAGTAGTCTTATATTACAGAAGCGTAATCTAGTCCGCTGTTTGGCGCAAAGGGTTAGAAAGAGCTGTTTGACAGATAGCATTGAAGAGGAACGTAGAAGAATCCAGGACCTGCTTCGCAGGAACATGTATCCTGACAGATTTATTGTAAGGAATCTTGCCGAACGACCGGCAAAACTCATTATACTGACGGCAGGAAAGAAAATTCTGTTCCTCAAAGATCCCTTTCAAGCCGTTTCGCTGACCTCCCCGGCAGCAAGAGTTAAAGTATTGTTATCAACCAACCCCGTCCTACGCGAGGAAGGTGATGACAGGCTACCAGTTCAGACCACTTCCACGTGCATTTACTCCTTTACTTGCTACCGTGGAGCAGGCTACATTGGTCGTACGAGTCGGCGCCTATCCGCAAGAATACGAGATCGCCTGCTGGCCTGGCTGAGGGAAGGTGAAGTTAAGAGCATACACATCTCCATCCCCGCACACATGGTTGATTCTGGGCATCGTGTGGACCCCGACGCAGCCTTCCGTGTGATTTACAAGGTCCCAGCTAACTATCCTAAGTGACTGGGTCAGCGCTTACTTGCAACAGGAGAGGCAACTGCCATCAGGCTACAGAGGTCGGACTTGTGCGTGCAGGGGAACCTCTAGCACTCTCCGCGTCCACCGTGAGCAAGGATCGATTAACTGTATGCATGTCGCCGCGCCCCAGTCTCCCCCCTTCCCTCCCCCTTGTGACACGGCTCTGCCTAACCCTCACTGTCACTGTTTGTATGAAAAGACGAACCCCAATCGATATTACATGGTTTAAATCCGATTATAATTTTTTTTAAAAATGCAGGCATTCAGGGGCATATTCCTTTATTTTGGTTCCAAGACAAAAGAGACTGTTCGTATGAGCAAACTCCAACAGTGATTGCCGTTGTCAGCAGGAAAATAGGGTAAAAAGCTATCAGCAAGTTCCCCTCTGACAAAGTTCGCTCCGGTTTTCTGAATTTTTGGTTACTCCTGTTGTGAAACGAAGTTGCACTCTCACAAACCCAGCTCCTCCAGTTTTCTCTGAGTTCGGTAAACGTCACCGTCAGCCAAGCCGAGCGACTTGGAAGACTGATGCTGTTGGTACTTAAATGACGTCCTGCATGGTAGGCATCCCAGATAGGAGTTTAGACGCGGAAATGGTATTAGGGAAGAAATGAGGGTGGCTGTCTTCTGTTGTGACTGCTGTCCGGTGTTCGTACCACTACCACCACCACCAGTCGCCCCAACCCCACTTCCAGCTCCGCCAAGGGCTAGGCTATGCCCTGCCTTCAGACCGCCTGGCTGGCCATTTGAGCCCGCGATACTGGAGTTGGAAAGAATGCTAAGGACATCCGACAGCCAAACCTGAGAGGAAGTACCCACGGGTGCCACTGGTCCGTCGTCCCAGAAGAGGTCAAAGTCTCCGACACGCTTCTCCTGTCCAGACAGTTTTCCTTCCATGTCGACAATGCTGAGGACATCGTCCAGTAATTTAAGCTGCAATTGGAAGTTTGAAACTAGACTGCTCAATATCAGAGTAGTTGCTCACAGCTGAGATGTCCAAAATCAGTAAGTACTAAGCGTGGTAGATACTTCCAAAAATACTCATACTTTGGGGAGAAGATAGTCTTTACGTCGAAAAACCGCGAACACTAATATGCGAGCTCGCAATTTCTATTTCGTATTGAATGTTGATGCGCTGATTGGTAAGTTTGTTCGCCAGTAAGGAAAACGGGCTTATATTGTGCCAGTAACACTGTGGCCCACTTATCATGCAAAATGTTTGCATTCGGGTGCTAGTTTAGGTCTGAAAACGGCCATTATCTCATTAACATGGTCGATTAAGGATTGCCGTGCATACAGCCGCGGATACAGCTGTAAGGATCAACCAATCGCATGCGCCCGAACATCGCTCTTGAACTTTGCTTTATGACTGCAACTCACACTGTCGGTACATAATAAATAACATTTTTGTCATTTCTAGTAATAATAATCAAAGACAGGGATGTTAATGCCGGCTAAATGCAAGTCAACATTGATTATCTTTTTGGAGACTTGACCTCATTTTTCGGGTCAGTGTTTGCATAATCCCCTTTACAGACCACAAGTGGAAAATGAATGTCGAATTCCAAGAAAAAAAGCGATCGTAAATAAACTCTTTTTCATATGAGCCGGATCGATATATCCATCGATTGAGGAGAAAATGTGAGGGAATTGCTTAACGGCTTGACTTATAGGCGTCACATTATTCATTGACAGAAACTGAGATATTTACCCAGTCAAGCTTCCAATTCTCCGAAAATGTGAGCGGCGACGTTGCCGACATATCTTTCATGATGAAGACGCATTTCGGATCTGCTGACGACGTCATCGAGTTCGTGAAGGATCAGGAAATTGACACGAGCGAGTTCCAATTCCAAACAGCTTAACTAAGTGATCTGTGGGTGCCCATTTTTAACTAACGTCTATCGAGAACCTACAAATAGCAACCACCAAGTAAGCCCGAAAAAGACGGTGGCTAACTCTTCAGCCGCTAACGGACTTTCTACTTCCTTCTTACAATCCAACCATTATATGGTACAGAAACATCTACAAACGCCCCAAAGACAAACAATGGACAGCATCGACCTGAGTTAGTTGACACAGTGGAACGTTTCTACAGTAAACTGGATATTGGACTAAGTCACTTGGGCCTCAACACAATTCTTTGCAAAAAATGGCAGATAAAGATCCTCATCTCATAAAAACTATGGAAAATCTCATCCACACCCCCGACAGTGCCGGCAATCCTACACAGTACCCAGGTTCTATCAGTATAGAGGTTTTAACAGGCAAATGATCTGTATTAATAGCAGCAATTATGTTTAAAGAATGAGCAAGGCGGAACTCACTCCACAAATAGTCTTAAATATAAAGAAAATTTGACATTCGGCAAACATCTCTAATCCTGATATTATATCAGACGCCAGAGCGATTACTCTGAGGAACACTTACCGAGAACGCTGTTCTCCTAGCATAACAAACGCTAATTTAGAGATACTAATATCCTTGGTCTTGAAGTGATGCTGAGCAACGAAGCTGCCATCCTGTATCAGTGTTTCTGTCCTTATCTCTTAACTATCCTGCGCAGTTCATACATGTACAGCGAGGACCTGGGGAACCTACGTCGAAAGTTTGCGAAATACATTTCGTTGAATTTTCCGAACAGCTTACTTTCTTCAAGCTTCCTCCTTTCAAAATTGTTATATCAGAGTGTGTAACGTTTTAATACACTTTAGTTAAATCATTAGACACTGTCCTCGTGATCTCTTTTTCGTGATCAACCATTTATTCTTGTCAGCCGATGTATTCAGACGTTTCATCTATGTAATAGAGCCTCTTATTGATGATGTTCATGCTTGTGGAATCAAAAAGCTAGTGTCACCTCTTGATGGAATTTTAATGGGAGCTTTGCAGTACTTATGGGCTTAAGGGAAGGTCATAAGCCTCTCGGAATATTTCGAAAGATGCATAGTTACGGAATGCTAAAAGCGTGGCATTTGGAACTGTATCTCTGTCGTCGTCTGTTTCTCGAAATATGGCCCAAGTATGCGCAGCTTCAGAAAACACACTCCTCTTGGTTGTCAGACTGGCAAGGCTCCGTCGGAATGTAGACAGAGTTTGGCAAGTAGTCTTTGCTTCAAATTTTCGTACTCAGTGACTTTTACCCATTATTATGTTGCTGTAGAAATATTGTTTCATTCAAACACTGTATTCGTGGTATCGACGGCAATCGTCCGTCACTCCTTGTTTTCCGTGTTCTATATAAACGAAGGTTTTGCGTGTAAGACACTAACTGGCTACTCGACCGGTTCAGAGAACGCTTTATGCACATGGGCGTACTACTAGCAATTTAAAATCAAGAGAGACGATCAGCAAGGAAATGAATAACTTGAGGTGTAGGAAAAACATCTAATCAGCAAGCCAATTGAGGTAGAAACTGTAAAACAGATAATTTATGGTGAGTACTGCGTAGTCTGAGGGCTGATTTCCATGAGATCAGCACTTAGCTATTAAAAGATATCAAAGGATACTTCCTTCGAGACTTTAAATTCACATTCTTAGCGCGATCTTGTGCTCAAATAAGACACAAAAGTGACTTATGTTGCGTAGATGCCTTGGACAACTAGAAGAACTTTTCTCCAGGAAAGTGCAGGACCAGAATCCAACTTCTGTCCGAAAGGTCGCTTTCCATACGGGTAAAACAAAAACACCTTTTTTTCAGATAAGATGAGAGCGGTTCATTTTAGACAAAATTACTGAAGAAGCGGATGGAATACAGAACGCCCGCCTTCATGTTAGCCTCGCAACTAAGTTGTCCCAATTACTATAGCAGAACAAGCAGTGCTACCCGAACAGTTATGCATGAATGACCACAAATCTAGCGCCCTCTGATCTGTAGGACGGTTTCATTTCTATAGAAACCAGTAGCTCAAAGTCTGTTTTTTGATTTGAGAAGCAAAAGGGCTTTACCTTCAGTTGCCGATCCTCTGGGGAGCTTGCCGTAAGGGACGGCGAAGAATTGATTTCCAGAAGCCAGGGTTTTAAATCGGTGTCCAAGAGAATATCGTAGCCGTAGAGTTCGAAACAGTGCTTGTCATGAATCATTATCTTTTGCACGCTTAAAAGACTGGCCACGAAGATAGTATCGATATCCCGGAACAGTTGTTCGACCTTTAAAATCCACAAAATATTCAGTGAGCTTTGAAGCAACTCTCATCCAAAAACGGGCCATTCAGTAGGGTGTCAAGGCGCGGCCTGACTGAACCGGAACCTATAAAACAGGCTTCCGGTGTGTGTTTGGCGTGTGAACTGCTGTAGTCCATAGCAGTCGCTCACTATGAGTCAAATTTATGGTTAGTCCATCCGGTGGGAGTTGTAGTTTTAGTATAGGGCCTTAGTCTCCGTATCGTCAGATGATGTTCGTACAACGACTTTTCATTTGACCTTGGTCTTTCTAAAGTGGCCGCACACGTAATTGCAATAGATTTTTTCACGAACTTGGGAAGCGAATGAGAGGCTCAGTAAGCAATGTCAAAATTAAGTGTCGGATTGTAGTCTGTGACCTATGGACCGGGCTTGTTTCTAGGGTTATGCTGGCGAGATAACCACACCGGAGACTATTTTAGTGTAGATAAAGGACTTCCTGAGATCAAGACTTCAGTCAGCTTTCCCGATGTCAGCTTTGCCCGATAAGTGTTTGCCTACCTGCTTGGCCTGAAAAGATGACAGAGCTGTAGTTATTTAATTTACTCAATCCTTCCGTTTCAGTGACTTCCCTTGGACTTATCAAGGCCTGCAGAACTGGGGATGGAGGGGCCACAGTAAACCTAACGGGACTGATAGTGAGGATGACAAAAACTATTCGAGTATCATCTCAATCTACAGGACACGTCGACGAACGACTACGCTGAAAGTCACCTCACAGGCCACACATTCTTACGGACGGACCGATTGATTACCCAGGCAAATCCTTACTACGGATAACTTCCCAAACAGACTTATATCAGCACTAGACAATGAAGAGAATATAGATCGGGAACAAGGTTTATCTTTTTCTAATGACATTTTGATTTTGCCCTTCTTTGTTTTGTAGTTCGGTTTTGAACAATGTACGATGGATTCGGCTGACCAAGAAGGCACGCAGTGACCACATTTCTCTCCGACACCTCCATGTTTCCTTCTTGGACTACCAATTTGTGCCATGTATCTTCCTTTATTGATTTGGTCATGATATTTAAGCAAGCCACATTGGTCATACGAGTAAGTCCAAAACTTCTAGAGGAGCATGTACGCCCCCAAGGTGGTAGGCTTAGATGGTCTTGGGGGCTTGTGTTAACTTGCCTTTTTATAGCCATGTTTTGCGAGAAGGAAGCGACGTAACCGACAGACGGACCACTTCAGACCTCTGTCCGCATCATAATCTGGTGCAGACTTCTGGATAGCCACATTTGTCAGGTGAACATCTACAGGTCAAAAAGAGTCGACAAACAGGATAAAGTAATTGGAAATCCATAATTAGCTGGTCGATACAAAAGGAGAAACCCAAGACTTATTAGCAGGAAACGAGCGTGTGCCGATGCTGCACAGTTTCGTAGGTAAAGTGTTGGCAAAAGACTGGTGAAAAAAGTTTATGTACAAACGTTCTTTATTTAAACGTTATTTAGAACTATTTCTCAAGAAAAATTGAAGGTACAGTTACATTTTGAAAAAATCTAAAATATCACATATAAAAAAGACAATGAATAACATGAGGAATTTCCATGACCCGAGAAAAACGAACCGGTCTTAAAACCAATTCGCTAACTCACCTATCTCATCCTGTTAAACAAACTCGACTCCTCACTGTAAAGTGAATTCGCTACTGTCAGATGCACGATAAGCTGAAGTGGACATGTGAACTGAGCGGCATGAAAGCTGTTTTATGTATGCACATTTGGCTAACAAACATGCGGCAGTCGGTTTATTGCCAAATGGAGAGACCTTGGGGAAAAACCACTCCTAGTCATTTGTTAGTCGGCATTAGCATAATTCCGACCCGGATAAATCTGAAGTTCAATTCTAGAACGGCATAGTAGAGAGTTATCAAAGTCGAGCGTTCCACTGGCAAGTTATGATTTAGAATTTTGTTTGAAGACTGTTAAATCTGAGTAAATTTGAACAGCTTAACTTGAGAGAAATACTTGCAGGCGTGAGTTCAAGAAGTGCCAAAACTGCCCCATTCCCGTTTTTGGTCTGTTCAGATGGCTTTGTGTGTAGGAAAACGAGTAATTTAGTATGCACTTGGAATTAATGTTCATTAAAAGAGTGAGAGTAGCTAAGATTTTTTGTTTTCGAGTAAAAGTACGTGAAATAAATAAAAAGTATGCTGCACACAAAAAAGTAGATCAAGTGTTGGTCGTGTACGTATTAAACAAGACGTTATGCTAGTTATATGCGTGGAACTTTATTTTAATTTCTGTCATAAGAACGTAGAATGAACTGAAAAACCGTTATATCAAAATCTTTACGTGACGAAAATTTGAAACAGTGGACTACCGCTTAACCGCATCCTACGGTTTTACCTTCATTAGTCGAGAAGGTATCATGTTCTGTAAAAATCAGGTTCGGCTAAGGGATAGTCTTTTAAACCAAAAGCCCAGGTGGAGCAAAATTTCACATACACTGGTCATCGATGGAATCCAGGGAAAACCCCGCGTTGGAAAGCCGAGCAAATCCATCACGATACACCCAGGCTTTCAGTGGCATAAACTGCAAAGGAATTCAAAACCCCAAAAAATCAATTACTATTTCAAGGCATGGAAAGTCAGCTGAAATTAGAAAAATCCTTAACTTTCAGTCATATGCGACTCACATTTGCCCTAAAAGTGCATGGTCGCGGAAATCAATGACAAGCTCTGAGAGAAAATGCATTAGTGCAAAAACATCCTGTATAGATACGCAACAGGGCATGGGTTGAAAAACGTTTTTCCGGTAAAAAAACCTTTTACTTTTGAGCTGGTTTTGTCGGTACTTTTTCCAGAGTAATTCTTGTCAGCTGCCAAACGAAGACTTAGATGGATTCTAAAACTTGAAGGTCACACAAAACGAAAATGTCATCACCGTACTGGTATTAAGATGAATCGCTAGAGGCAAGACATTCATGACATTGGTCATTATTTCAAATTTTGCGGTAGTGATTAGTGCTTAGCTTTCGTTGCTCAGATTTTGTGGAAGAAAGGATGATCAGCATAAAGAGGACGGAGTTTCTTCGTTGCTTCTAACTCCGCCTTTAAGGTGAAAAAATCTAGTACATTTAATGAGTAGCCCTAACAAACTCCTACTTACTGCGCAACGAACTGTTTCCCCTATGTGTTCAATTATACATGAGACGGTATAAAATTTTGTGCGTCTAATTGGTCAACAGAGCGACTTTAAAGTAAAAGGCATGTTGAAAAACCTGAAGTTGGAACGCCGTAACTAGCCATTATTGCTGACTTACCGAAGTCACTAAAACGTACACACGGAGATCGAACTTTCGGCCACCGATGAGATAGGGATTGTCAATGTAACGAGAAACGACATAATTCTCGGGTGTCTCCTTCCCAGTCGCATCTCCAGTAGCGCCGTTATCTGTCTAACGAATCAGTTAAGGCGAGAAGTTTGCACTGCCAACTTTTGAAACGCTCGTCGCTCCGCTCCATTTCCACGCCTCAATATCTTTGATCCTTCTGAACAAAAAAATGCCCCGACCCTGTGATTTGGCAACTGGTTTCATTATCCAAATAGAGCCCGGCGACTTTCGAAATTCTTCCAAAAACATATGATACTCCATCTTAAGTAGCGTAGATCAGAAATGCCAACGACTCTTTACGGGAAGTTCAAACGTTGTAGGAATGAAATCCAACCTTCAAAAATCATGAAAGTAAACTGAATCCGTACATAGAGCACTCCTTTTTGCCGCATTCCTTCTCACATTTCTTCTTGAGTCGTTTTAGATTCTTAACCATAAGGTTTTTTCGAGTAAGCTAGATAGGAACAAATGAAAAAGGAATATGAAAAATTTCCTCCCCCATATAAATGACCGTTGATATTATTATTAGTCAGGAAGATCAAAAACTCATTTCCGTATGAGACTGGCTCTGTAGGCCCATTTGGACGAAATCTTAAAACTTCTGATTGCCTTGTTCTGTTCTAC